TGCTAATTGCTCTCAGGAGCGTGGGTTGGATTTTCCAGCGACTTGGCTTTGGGAGGCTTGCGTATTCCATTAGTCCTCTGTGCCACCAAGCCTCCGCCTTAAGAAATCCTCTGGCTGAGGGAAATGATGACTTTGTGGCTCCCCATGTTGAAGGCCAATTTAGAGAGGATGTCTACTGTGGAGTCAACTGGGTAAGAAGGGACATTCTAAACAAAAAGGTAATTCTCTGTGCCTATAACTTGCTAAATTCCCTTCGCTGTTTATTAGAGACAAATCTATTTGCATAGCAGCCTTTTTCCCCAGTCTTTTCTTCGGCTGGTGCCTGCAGTGAATCATATAATTAATTTGGTATTACATGACATTGCAACCTGTTGCCATAGATTTTATTTTTATTTTGTCATTGAATAATTTAAAACGCTTTGACAAAATACCCTCAGGTGGCCGGTGAGGGAAACTTAAAAACTCACAGAACAAATTTCAAATGGGCAAATACCCCATAGGAAAATCTCAATACCTTTCTCGGCTGATGTTTAGGAATACCGGTATGTGTGTTTTCAGTCCCTAATGGAATGGAGGCTGATTCACTTTATATATATGTTTATTTGGCCGATGGAACATTCTGTAAAGGAGATACGTACCAGGTGTAATGATCTCTTTTCCACTTTCAGATGAATCGCATTTAAATTGATTCAAAAGATATTAAGTCTCAGGAATCAGCCCCAAATCTTGGTGATTGATCTATATTTGAATTTTAGTATGCAAGGTCCTTTAACAAACACTCTTTTAAAATGTATCTGTGCTTGACTTACTGAATTATGTTATAGAAGGAAAATTCTGCCATCTTTTAATAGTCAAGATAGGAAAAGCTAATCACTGTAACAACATGCCCCCCCCCAAGTCTCAGTGATTTATTTATTTATTTATTTTTAAAAAGATTTTATTTATTTCTTTAACAGAAAGAGAGATCACAAGGAGGCGGAGAGGCGGGCAGAGAGAGAGGGGGAAGAAGGCTCCCTGCTAAGCAGAGAGCCTGATGTGGGGCTCAATCCCAGGACCCTGAGATTGTGTCCTGAGCCGAAGGCAGAGGCCCAACCCATTGAGCCAACCAGGCGCCCCAGTCTCAGTGATTTAAATCAATACCACAGAAGTTGATTTCTTTGTTCAACTACAGCCCCTTGAGAGAGCAATGGCATCTCTGTGGAGCTCTTCTCTAAGCAGTGGCAGAGATCTAGTCTCCTTCATCCTGTGAGGCTACCGTATTCAAACTTTTCTGGCCCTTGGGGTCTCCATGTGAGGGCAGGCGAAAGCGTCAGAGATTATGCTGGGAGTTTGAAGTTAAACCATTCCTGGCCTCATTCATTGGCCAGAACCAAAACAAATGGCCCCAGTTCGGTTGCGGAGGGTATCTATGTAGAATCCATATGGGCCAAGGGAAACGAGGGTTCATGAATATTTAGACAGTCTCTGCCACTTCTGGCCTTGTGGTCACCAGAGTTCCATTTCATACTTCCTAAGATGGTGAGGTGTCATACTAACTTGTGGTTGAGATGTCACACCAGCTCTCTGTTCATCTCCCTTTCTGCAGTGTGCATTCTCCTACTTTTACACAAGAAAAATTGACCTGTCACTTATCATCTATCTTACTATTAATCATTCCCAGGATGGTAAAGACCTCCAGGGACCAAACAAAGTGACAATTTGTAATATTGGTGTCAGGAAGTCTCCTTTAATCAAAGCACCATTAACCCTCAGAATGGCTTCCTCTTTCCCTCCAGTTTACCAGTGTTCCTGTTAAGAGAGTCATGGCCTGAGACTGCGGTCTACTGGCCCAAGTAGGGGCAATCTGAATAGAGATATATTGGAGAGTAGGATAGCAGGAAAGAGGATAATTTTCATTTAATTGCCTTGCCTCTACCATCATCCAGATTTGGAAAATTGTGCAGAGCTCTTGAGAGAGGTGCCTTTAGGAACAGCATATAGAATATTTTTATGCAATGCAGAGGGTGGTAGCATCTTTGTTATTCAGAAAACAAATAATATGCTGAAGTTCCAGACACCATCAGCTGCCCAGCTGCCTATGCTTCTTTGTTTTTTTTTTTTTAAACTATCACCTTATAATTTAAAAGTGAAATGACTGTCGTGCCAAAGCATATTGATACAAATTTTGGAATTAAAAAATGAAATCAAGGATTTTTTTCCTAACAGAGAAGAAATACAATTAGGATGGTTAAACACTGAGAATGGCTTTGCCAATTTTGTGGCATGATGGATATGCCCTTCCTACCTTCCTTTTTCTTTTCCTAATTATTATTTTAATGGTGTTCAAAGGAAATCATTCATGGTGATTTTTTTTTTTGAAGGCCAGTATATTAAAAAGCTTATAAAAAAATACTCTTACTGCCTCAACTTTCCTCACATCTGTTAGCTCTCTTCTTCACAAGCCACCACTTTTAAGTATTTTATTTATTTCTTCTAGCATTTCCTATCTATATTTTGTTAATCAATTTGTGTATATTACCATTTTTCATTTAGTCAACCCTGGACACTATTTTGTTCACTTTTTAATTATAGTCCGTAGTTAATAAAAATCTCATTGATGTTTTTCTCTCTTAAATGGCCATCCCCTCTCCCTTCCTTACCCATTCCTCTCCAGCTAATAATACTACAATATTTGGTTAGATCAATAATCATTTAATTAATATGCCTTCACATATTAATGAACTATGATTATGTTTACTTCCTTATTTTTGGAAGTTATTAAGTGCCTTGCCTTCATAAGCTTACTTTAATTTGGACCTTTGGGGTAACTGTTTTCATACTTTATAATTGCCTTTTAGCATAATTTTCCACAGTGCTAATTTCATCAGATAATTTGTTAGTCACAATTATTCTTTTTTTAATTGGACATTTCTATTACCTTTTACTTACACTGGTTCACCCCAATCCCTGCTGCATAGCTGTTAGCCTGGGATCTCCTTCATTGTTATTCGGGGGAATCCCTTCCCCTCTCTCTTGAATTGGATCCCCTCTTCCTCAATCTCATAATTTTCTCTTTTTTTTTCCCCCCTCTCATTTTGGTAACATGTCCCTCAGAAGCCTCCTAATAAAGAGCATATGGGAAGGAAAATTACTGAGTCTTGATGTGTCTGAAAACATCACCTTCACAGTTGATTGTTTCCTTGGGTTTAAATTCACGATTGGATATAATTTCCCATCACCTATATTGTTTCATTATGTTCTAGCTTCTAGTCTTGTTTTTTGAAAATTCCCATAGCCATTCTGATTCCTGTCTTTTCTATATGATCATTTTTTGGTCTCTTTTCTTACTCTTTAACAGTTTTTAGAATCTTCTCTTTTTCCATAATTTTAGAAAATATTTTTGTAGCTTGTCTATTTTCATCAACTTATTTAATTGACCGATCTCTTCTGGGTTTTTTTTTTTTTCTTTTTTTTTTTTCCCCTTCTTTTGATGTATGTCATTTACATCAAGGAGGAGGCTTAGTCTCTGCATTTTTATATTTGCCAGAGCAGAAGAAAAGGGAGCATGGTAAAATATGCTCGAGCCCTTAAAATAGCAACACAAGTGACATTACATCATATTGGCCAAACTCAGTCACATGGGCTCTCCTCCAAAGGGGCAGGAAAGTAGATTCTTACAATATGCCTAGAAGGACCAGAGATAATGGGCAAATGGCAATAGTGATTCCGTATTGTGGGGCTGGCAGTTCCTTCTGGGTGTTCACAGTATTCTGAATGGCACTTTGGTGTGCTCCCCAGTTTTCCCCTGCAGGTTGAGGATTTATCCATTAATTTAAATTTTTTTAAACAGTTGAGCATTTCTTTAATTTGATAAAAATATATCATTTCTCAGCTCTAGGAGACATGATGAAAGCCAAGGATGAAAAACAAAACAAAGCAAAGTATTTAAATGGGCCGAACTGGTTACAGTTTGTCAATTTTGATGTTGTTACTAGCTTTTCTCCTGCTCTTGCTCTTATTTGGGGTTAAGTCTTGAAAAAATTATTTTGGTTTTAGTGGAGTTTCAGAAAGGAGTGAAAATGGTTATATATATTCCATCTGACATATGTATCTGAAAAACTGTGGTTGTAATATCCTGTAAACCGAATGAGCTGATTCTGCAACTTCATAGCTTTAATGAAAATGTATTTGAAGAATCTGGTAAGATAGATGTTTTATTTAAAAAATTACTATTACATTTGTATTGGTGTGAACAACATTTTGATCTTTCCAATTCTTTCTTTGTATATTGGATTGTAAAAGGTGTTTCTTATTAAAGGCATAGGAATTATAAATAATAGTAATTTGTTGAGTCTCAGAAAAGCCAGTTTGTTAAATTTCTCAGAGATCTATTACTTACATAGGGATTTATTGCTTACAAATCCTTCTGCAAGTCATAAAGCTTCAAATTCTTTGCTTTTATCAAAATTAAAGTACCACAAATTTAATTGTTCTCTCAATTGTCTGCTGTCACAAAAATGTTGTCTTAAAATGCAACCATAAACTTTAGTGACAAACTTCATTTTATTTTTTACATATATAGTTTTGCTCCTGAGACTATGATGTAGATAGATCTCTTTGCCTGGGCAGATCTAACCCCCAAATCAGGAGACCTGGGAAGAACCGGGAGTCTTGGAGGGTTTTCTTTTCAGTTACAATTTTTTCCTCAGAACTTACTCTGTCTCCAGAGGGTGAAAGAGCACATGATTTCTTTTTCAGGTGAGATTCTCCCCCATACCTTATAGGGCACGACAAGCTCAAGTTATCAGATCAAGTCATTATCCAAGAAGTAATGAAAAGATGCTAAAGGAAGATACAGAAATCATTTCTTCATCCCACAGTGCCCATTCCATGCAATTATTACAGAGAGGCTACTGAACATCACCAGACAGGGGGGTTCCTGGAAAAGATTGGGTGTCCTGAGAAGGCCTTTAACATGAGGTGACTCACTAGCCCTTTCTTTCTTTTTTTGATCATTCCAGAACGCTGTGATGACTGGGGACTAGATACCATGAGGCAGATCCAAGTGTTTGAAGATGAGCCAGCTCGCCTCAAGTGCCCACTCTTTGAACACTTCTTGAAATACAACTACAGCACAGCCCACTCAGCTGGCCTGACTCTGATCTGGTATTGGACGAGGCAGGACCGGGACCTGGAGGAGCCAATTAACTTCCGCCTCCCTGACAACCGCATTAGTAAGGAGAAAGATGTTCTCTGGTTCCGACCCACTCTCCTCAACGATACCGGCAACTATACCTGCATGTTAAGGTAGCCTGATTCTTGGTGGGAACTTTCTCTTTTCCCTTTAGTTCCTGGGCTTTTATCTGGAGGATGCATCTGCTATGAAGCTATGGCAGGGAAGGAAACATCTAGAAAGAGTTACACCCCACCTCAGTGGATTAACAGAGGTTGCCCAAGAGGTGTGCAGAGAAAACGGTTGCACTCCTGAGATCTTTCTCTATAACTGGTTCCTTTTCAAACCCTGACATATATCAAGATTATCTAATGATGGATCCTTGTTTATTTTTTTCCTTTTCCCTGATATTAAAACCTGCCTGCATTTCTGCCTCACCTGAAAGCATCTATTTCCCTAGACAATGAGCACAGTAGAGAGCAGAACCCATTCATTTCTGTTGTTCTTGGCATCTTTCGATGTCCCTGATACAGAAGAAAGCCTTAGGATGCCTTATGGGAGAAGAATATTTGGGAGATATCCAATGTATTTAGAATAATGCCTTTCAAACTTTTTCATCAAAATTGCCTTACAAAACAAATAAACACCATATCACTGGGAATCTAAGAATATAATCCAAAGAACCCCACCAATACTGCAAAATTTCTTTCAAATCCACTTTGTTGAATCTTGAAAATTCATATAGATTTTGCATTTTAAACAATAATATACCTATTCTTCTATTACCACAGATTAATGCTGTTTTTGTTCTGAAAAAAAAAAAAAATTATAAAAAACTGAGCCCCGGGGCCCCTGCGTGGCTCAGTGGGTTAGCCCTCTGCCTTCAGCTCAGGTCATGATCTCAGAGTCCTGGGATTGAGCCCCACGTCGGGCTCTCTGCTCAGCAGGGAACCTGCTTCCCCCAACCTCTGCCTGCCTCTCTGTCTACTTGCGCTCGATCTTTCTCTGTCAAATAAATAAATAAAATCTTTAAAAGAAAAAAAAAATAAAAACAGCCGAGGCCTCTCTAAAGAATAATCATTTTTAAGGCTTAGATCTTTGGCTACTCTTTTCCCAAGGTCCCCTTTTAGCTTCCAAGACTTACTTTGTTTTTTAAATTCCCATCTGGTTTGTGGATTATGGCTTGTTTTTGTTTTTGTTTTGTGTTTGTTTTGTTTTTACACAGATTCCTACTGTTTAATAGGTGCAGTATGCACCTATTAGTTTGCTAGGGCTACTAAAACAAAATACCACAGAAAAGTGGCTTAAATACCAGAAATTTGTGTTCTTGCAGTCCTGGAGGCTAGAATTCCAAGATCAAGGTGTTGGCAGGGTTGGTCTCATTTCTCTCTCTTTGGTTTGTGGACCGCCATCTTCATACCATCTCTTCACATGATCTACCCCCTGCATCATCTCTGTCCTATTCTCCTCCTCTTATAAGAATATCAGTCATATTGGATTAGGGCCCACCATACTCATTTTACCTTAATCACCTCTTTCAAGACTTGTCTCCAAATATGGTCACATTCTGAATTACTGGAGGTTAAGTATTCAACGTATGAATTTGGGGAACACAATTCAGCCCATAACAATAGGGCTGAATGATATAACGATACAACAGCATAGAATGACATAATAGATAGTCCCACACTGTCTTCTGAATGCCCTTTGTCTCTCATGGTTATTGACCATTCTCTGATAGAGAAATGTGACTACATTTTGATATATTTAAGCTGTGTTACGATTAAGTGAAAAAGGACTTCTCTGTCACAGAACGCATTTTCATCATTGTGGCCTTAGGAGTCCCTTGGAACCTCTGAAGGCCCTTTTGAGGTTTTCACCTGATTCTTTAGTTTTATTGGAATGAACTCTAGACTAGTTTCTAGGCTTCCAAAGAACACTGACCACTATTTATGTCCAAGACCAGCTTTGTAGGAGAGGTTTAGACAGATTATAGTGGAAAGAGCATGGGATGAAAAGACACAGAAACCAGGCTGGCATCCCAGCCCTTATACTACTCAGCTGGTGACCTTAGGCACGTCAGTCTGTGTCTGAGAGCTTTGGCATCTGTATCCACCCAATGAGAAAAGCAGCCTAAAATCTCCTTTCCATCTTTGGCAATTGTTAATCTGTTACAGGTGGACATCAGAAATAGCTGGGAAAGCGTCATCAGTAGCTTTCTGGATGACCTTGTTCTCTTCTCTGCATTTTAGTGTTTCATTAACTCTATTTCTGTTTCCTACTTATCTAGAGCACCTCCTCAAACTTTTCTAACCTTTACATTATAGGAGCAGCATGACTGTTAAGGCCTGAGTATTCCTTTAATGTGATTTATCAATTTTCAGATGGCCATCTCTTCAGTTTACCTGTCTGCTTATCTTTTCTGTCCCTAAAGTAAATCTAGAAGTGAACTTGTCTGGTGGAGACACCAGAAGCTTCCCACAGTCCTGAGGTGATTCCTAAGTGGAGAATGTCCTTAAACTGGCCCATGTAAAATCAAAGGCCTGATGTCTTAGGACCATAAATTAAGATTCATCCTCCAGGATTGTACCACTTGTATTCTTGTTTCGATATTACTCTGAGGATAACATCCAGATTTTACTTTAGAAACCAGAAAAATCAGTCCTACCACTGTTCATTATTTTTTTTAAGTCAGAGAATTTATCTTATGAAGCTGAAAATTATCCCCTGTAAAATTTCCACCTATAGAATACTTCTTCCCCCGGTAGACCTTTTGCTATTTTTAGGTGGTGATTATAGCTGCCACTGTCCCTTCTCACATTATTATTATTGTCATAAGTCATCTTTAAACATCCCTTCTTCCCATTCTGGGAGGGAAATGCATCCCCCATTTCACTGTATTTAGCCTCAATTAATTAGTTAATGAGTATCTATATGTATTTGGCACCTTGAATTGAAATCACAAAAAGGGGTAGACAGTGAATGACCCATTTACCCATAACTCTAAGAAATCAGGTATTTTTATTATCTGTGTTCCCTTTATGTGCACAGACACATGTTTTACATCCATTCCATTTATTTTTGAAACATTTAGTTAGTGCCTACTGAAAGTTTAGACATTGTACTACATGCAAAGAACAAAAGAAGACACATGTGACCATGCCCTTGTTTGAACTATGATAAAGTCAATCAAGGAAATGTCTGAGGTGCTCAGAGAATGAGAACCCTAATTTAGAAGTGGGGTGTGTGGAGGATGACATGGAAAGCCTCCATATGTGAAGTGGACTGATGTCTTAGGGCCATAAATTAAGATTCATCCTCCAGGATTGTACCACTTGTATTCTTGTTTCAATATTCCTCTGAGGATAACATCCAGATTTTACTTTGGAAACCAGAAAAATCAGTCTTACCACTGTCCATTATTTTTTTTTAAGTCAGAGGATATATCTTATGAGGCTGAAAATTACCCCCTGCATAAGGGATGAGAGAGCACCTAGGCAGACTAAATGACCTGTGTGGACATTCAAATGTAAATGCAATTGCCCAGTCATCCTAAAATGTAAATATTTTAGTATATCAGCAGTAGCTAATTGTGTCTGTTTTTATTTTGTGACATCAAATTGGTAGAGGAAATACCTCTATAACGCACTTAATTTCTATGTGAACTCACATACAAATGAAATCTCAATGCGCAGCATTATTTCACTTAGCTCATTTTCATGTGATTGCTGCATCAAATCCAATGCAAAGGCAATTGCCCATTTATTGGCTATTTCTCTTTTCAGGAACACCACATACTGCAGCAAAGTTGCATTTCCCCTGGAAGTGGTTCAGAAAGACAGCTGCTTCAATTCCTCCATGAAACTTCCACTGCACAAGCTGTATATAGAGTATGGTGTTCAGAAGATCACGTGTCCAAATGTAGATGGGTTCTTTCCTTCCACTGTCAAACCAACCATCACTTGGTACATGGTAAGCAAACTCAGGAGCATCTTACGCTCTCTAAAATGGCAATGTCTGTCCTTGATTCTTGAATTAATGTTGAAACTAAGGTTTTTCTCGTCAGATTTTTTATTTCTTCCTTAATAACTTTATGCAAATCTTTTACCAGGTCTTTACTTTGTGCCATTTTTATTTATTTGTGTGCCATTTTGAGGAAGTGGTGAAGAATGCTTTGTCTCAACTCACCATTTCCTAAATTACATTCACTGGACAACTAGAACTACCATATTTCTATTAACTTCCTGTGAGATACCATTTGAGAAATGCCTGCATGCTCTTTTCATTGCTAAGTGAGGTCAGAAGCTGCTCACTCATCTGGTGAATGTCAACTCCTTGATTAGTCAGCACTGTATTCTACTATCTGTGTGTGTTCCCATGTTTATCCTCATTTGTGGGCACAGTCCATCTGTGGTCTCTTCCACATCTGAGATACTTGGCAAGTATTTAGTAAAAAATGAAGATGTTGGAAGATGGCACCTGTGGCAGCAGCCTTATTTGTTTTTTAATCTCCTCACATACCCACATATGCCAAAGCTAAAAACTACTGGACAACATTTAGAACAAGCTCAGGGATGAGTTAGCCACAAGAATCACTTTCGATGACATAAGTGAAACAAACCACATATAGAATCAGTGTCTAGGGAAGGGGGGCAGATGGAAGTCATGTGGTCTTTGCTAGACTGGAGAACAAGGAACCAGCGATCCTCACTGTAAAGTATGGTGGGCCAGTTTGAGAACAGGAGTTGAAGTTAGGAAGAGTTTTACTCTCTAACAGAGAATGAGTCCAAGAGGCCCATAGTAAGAAGTTCTGAAGCAGCAGACTCAACAAATCTCAAGATCATAGTTTGGAAGAGGGAGCTCTGTGAAGTTAGAAAATCCTGCCAAATTCAAAAGCTCAGAAAAAAACGCATTTCACATAAAAATGAATAACAAAAAGAGCCAGGATAGGGGTGCCTGGGGGCTCACTTCATGATCTCGGGGTTCGGAGATCGAGCCCCATGTCGGGCTCCACGCTCAGTACAGAGTCTGCTTCAGATTCTCTTTCTCCCTCTCCCCCTCTCCCTGCTCACATGTGCTCTCTTTCTCTAAACAGATAAAAAATAAAACCTTAAAATAAAAGAACCAAGGTAAAATCCTGTTCAAATTTGAGAAGAAAAAGGAAAATATGAAGCAGAATAACATTTCTACCAAAAAAAGAAGCATGCCAGAGGAATATAATGTGACTTACTAGTTAAAAAATGAGCTAAAAGATATTAAGAAATGAGATGTAAAAGAATAACCGAGATCAATAAGAATTAGAAACATCCAAAATTAGAAAGTTAGGAAGATGGAAATAAGTCATTCAGCTAAAACTAAGAGGGACATAACAGCAAATGAACATGATAGATAATGCCTTAAGATGAACAGAAAGTGGAAAGGAGAAGGAATTTAAAATTAAAGATAAATGATGAATAAAAATAGGAAGGTTAGAATGGATATACCAGTAACACATAAAGTAGACTGTAGACAATGAGTATTGCCAGAGATAAAGAGGACTTTTCAGAATAATAAAAGGGTCAATTCATCAGGAAGTCATAAAAATAGTACAAGTATTTGTGCCTCGCAGCAGTGTGTCTGACTGCATGAAGCAAAAGTTGACAGATTTAAAAGAAGAAATAGGCAATTCATCATCATAGTTTAAAATGTTAGCATCTAATGGTTTAAGTCATTAATGAAATGACTTAGGAGCCAACTTTAAGAGTTTTCCATTGGCCAATAATGGAACAATTTGAACTTCAGTAAGGTTATTAATCACAATGGGTTGAATCTTATGAATTAAATGTAAATCCATAAGTTCATAATGATATTTTTAAAATAATTGGTCACATTTAGTGGATGATAGGAAATCAATTTGTTATCTTGAAACGAGTAAAGGGAAAAAATCAGCTATTTATTCTGCTTTTCCTGTAAGAAATGTGCACTGAGTAATGAAATAGTGCAGAGAAATGTGTTTTTATAAAAGTATATAATCATTTGCAGCCCCTAATGAACTAATAAATCTGAGCATGAAGCATCAGTGACTGATACTGTCCTAAGAAAGGGAACAGCTAGACATATTCCTTCTTCTTTTTTTTTTTAAAAACATTTTATTTATTTATTTGACAGAAATCACAAGTAGGCAGAGAGGCAGGCAGAGAGAGAGACGGGGAAGCAGTCTCCCCACCAAAGCAGAGAGCCCAATGCGGGGCTCGATCCCAGGACTCTGAGATCATGACCTGAGCCAAAGGCAGAGGCCCAACCCACTGAGCCACCTAGGCGCCCCAAGACATATTCCTTCTTATGAAAGAATAAAATATCACTTATAATTGTGCCAAATGGATTAAACCTGAGTCTGAAACAAAACAAAACAAAACAAAAAACAAAACCCAAAACACCCTTTGGATCCTACCGCCATTTTGCAGGGTATATAAAGAACAGAGGAATGTATTGATCTATACCATGAGTTTGCAGTTAGCAAAATCCAGACTGGAAAATTCTATAGGCCAAATGTCCTGGATTATTCAACAGATAAATTACAAGGAAAAAGAAAGTCATGATGTGGGAATGTGTAGGTTTTGAGACACATAAGACACATTTAACATTGGATGAAACTATAGTGTCTAAGGATGGTCATGTAGGTGATAAAATTATAAATGAAAAATAAGAAATTGATTTTACGATGACAGTGTAGATAGTGGCTACTTTGGCGGGGGAGGAAAAGAGCCATGATTGACATGGGGCATGTGGAAGTCCTTCAGGGGTGACTAATAACAATCTATTCTGAACTTGCGTGGTGCTTACAAAGTATTTGCTTTATAATAATACATGAACTCATACATATATTTGAGTGATTTTGTATGTATTTTATGCTAAAGTAAAATGATTAAGAGACAGGGAGAGAAGGAAGGAGAAAGAAAATGAAAAAGAGATAGAAAGACTGACTTAAGATACATAACAACTATTTGCAATGTATGGACCTTAATTAGATTGTGTTTTCTTCAGCCAAGCTATAGAGCAAGTTATGAGAAAACCAGGGAACTCTGAACACAGAATATTGATAATACAATGAGTTGTCACTTTTTAAATTGTTATAATAATACTGTAGTTATGCGTGCCGAAGACAAGGTCTTGTCATTTGGAGATATACATAAAAATCTTTACAAGTGAAATTATATAATGTCTGTGATTTGCTTCACAATAATCTTGGGGCGCAGTGAGTGGGTGTAGATGAAATAAGACATAGATTGAATTTTTACTTTTGAGGCTAGGTACAGGTACAGTTGATCATTGTATATTCTATGATCATAGTGTTCCATAGCAGACAGCATAAAAAATGATTAAAAGAATAATATTAACAATTTTACATTAATAAGTATAATGCATTTTCCAATTAAATAAAATGTTCTTCTCTTTACCTGCAATTGAGTTCTTTCATCTCTAACCCTGTTCACTTTCCTATACTTTGAATACTCAATGGTCTGAAAAAAATTAATTTTATTTCCTTATATATTCTATTTTTTTTCCCTTTTTCTTGATGCATACCTACCTGGAAGGCCCCCTCTTCTTTCTTTAGAACAGTTCAAATTCTGCCACCTTCATGGAATGTTCTCTCTTCTTTCCAGCTAGAAATATTTTTTCCCTAATATAATCCCAAAGCAACTTATTTATGCCTATCTCCATGTCACTTTTCACTTCCTTTATTGTTTTACTGTCATCCATGTATACATTCAACAGCTGTTGAAGATCGATTGTATTCAATGCAATATGTCAGGTTTGGGGGAACATAGTGATGAATAATATATATGTCCTACCCTGCATAGTTCCAAAAAGATCCTACACTTTAATTCAGACAAGTTTATAAATAAGAATTCTTACTCTTATAATAAAAATGGAATTCTAATTTCCACATGAGTACCATAGAGAATTAATTGTTGTTTCTAAGAAGAGGGAGAAATGTACAGGCATGTATCCTATGAGATTGATTATTTCTTGAGGATGAAGTTATGACTTTCGCATCTCTATGTCCTCAAAGATTTCTAGATTTTTTTGTTTTTCTGGTTGGATGAATGTTGGTGCTATTAACCAAGGTATGAAATAGCAGAGAAGGAGTGGTTTGGGGGCAGTGAGATATCTGTGAGATCTCTAGGGAGCAGCGACCTATAGTTCGTGGTTACATGTATATGGGTCTGAAGTGTAGAAGAAAAATCAAAACTGGAGATAGAGAATTGGCTGCATCTCTGTGATAGTTGAATCCCTTAAGAAGAAGACAAAATACAAAATAAAATCATAAAGGATAAGGGCTAAAGTCAAAATCTGGAGAGAATGTTCATAGGGTGAATGAAGACAAGAAACATAGAAAAATCAAGAAAAGAAGTCATAGCAGTGAAAACAATGCAATGGCACATTCCCAACAATGTTCAGGTGACTAAGAGGACAACCAGTAACGGACATCCTTCCTATTCTCTGATTCTGGAAAGGTTGCTATTGATGTGCTGCTTTTTATTTCTCCATCTTTGAGTAATCGACTGATACCTTTAATCCTGAGAGTTCCGCAGTCTTGGGAACAAAATCAGGGTTCTTGGCAGGGGGATTCTCCCATCACCGTATAGCAAGGCTGACATTGCTTTCTATTTCCTACCCTCTGCAGTCACCTCCTGCATCTGCGTGGATATCTTGGCTCTCTTACAGTAGTTCTCTTTCCATTGTTATTAGCTGAATTCCCTACCTTGACATTGGAGAAAGTTTATTTTAGTAATAACTGCGAGAGTTAAGACAAATTAATCAGTTCCAGCAAATTTGTTTTTCTGTTGACAGAGGGTGAAAACTGATGAATTGAGAAAAGGAAAAGGAAACTAACATTTCTTGCATTTTCCTAGTAAAATACCTCGTACTGGGTACTTTATATGTTAAATGTAATACTCACCACTTCCTTCAGGGTCGATATCATTAGG